TCGGCCCCAGCCCGACCCTCACCTGCTGCAGAGCGCGGCGCCCTCGGCCCGCAGACTGAGTTCCTATCGGCTTAGGGTACAGATTCGGATTCGCTGGGTCTGGGTGGGGTGGGGGTCTGCATTGCCGAGGCTCCCAGTGCCGCCCGCGCTCTGGCTCCCGGACCAGACCTTCAGGAGCAGGGATTGGGGGGCAGAGCAAAGACCTGGGCCTCAGAGGTGCCCGGGTGGGGTCCCAGCACTGCCCTGACACCGTAGGAACTCAGGGAACCCGTTCACTTCTCTGAACCCCACTCTCCTCACCTCTAAAGTCGGGATGAGGGTGTCCACCTTGTCGATGTAGATATTCTAAACCTTAAAGACAAACGGTACAATTCTGTGACGTGCCTGGAAGAAAGCAGGGGTTATGTTGGTCAGCTCTCTCCTGGGAGGAGTGTGCCACTGCAGTTCCTCCTTCTGGCCACTAGAGGTCGCCATTGTGTAATTCCTGCTTTTGGAAGTGAGGTGCCCAAGCCTCAGAGGAGCGACTCCAGGCCTCTGAGTCAGTAGGGCTCCTGGTGATCCCACTGCTGCCTAGAAATTCTAAGTGAAATCCCTACACCGGGGCAGGGCCTCCGGTCTGGAGGGGGACTCAGACCAATCGATCACAGAAACTAACAGTTGTGGGTAGACTAATAGTGTGCTAGGTGTAGGTTAGATATTGCAAATCCAGATTTGGTAACAATTTACTGCTAAGATACAATGAAAAAAATTTCTAAAAAAATATATATATATATATATATGCTGGCAGGTTCACACATCGCTGGGTAAAGCCAGTAGATCTTCAAAATAAAAGAAAATTTTCAGTCGGTGTGGAAGAAGGCCAGAGAGTGTCGCCAGGAAGACAAGCAGACACGCTGTCCTTCAAACACTGTGTTTCCTGGGGGAGAGGGGAGGGAAGGCACAGCACCCACCCATTTGGTCATTTTTCCATTAAAAATGAAATCGATGTATTTCCACTCCAAGATGCAAGAAGCGTGGACATGCTCACTCCATCCTGACACCAAGCTGGAAAGCCACCAACTCTTAGATCGGTAAGATCCGTCAGGTTACGGAGTACCTGGATGGGAAGGAGCAAGCGCAGCAGACAAATAAAGGAGCAGAGACTCACCAGCAGAACCCTCCGAGGGAACCAGTGCCAGGGTACGGAAGCCGGAACTATCATCGATGACCTGCTGCAGGCTCACTCAGGCAGGTCAGAGATACAAGCTCCAGGGGACCCAGTCATAGGGGGTGGGGAGGTGGCCACACTTTACCTCCCGGAGCTCCATCCGGCTCTCACTGTAAACAGAAGAATCCCCTTCGTGCTCCCGCCAGAAGGATAAAAGGAGCTACTTTGAAAAGTGCCCTAGCATTCATTCCCTTCTTCACAGGATCTGTCCTCAGGAGAAACTCGAATTTTAACCAGAGCCTAACCAGGTGGGGTTTTTTATTTTGTTTTTAATTTCCTTTTATATTTACTGTTGTTCCAATTGTTTAATGCGTTCATTGGTTGATCCTTGTATGTGCCCTGACCAGGGATCAAACCCACAACCTTGGCATATGGGGATGAAGTGCTAACCAACTGAGCTACCCGGCCAGGGCGAGGTGGGGTTTTATCAGAACCTAACTGACCTACGGGCAGGGGAAGACCCAACTCCAGCCAGCTCTAGCCCTCCAGCTGGGGGACGGGGAGTCCCCAGCTCCAGCCCGCTCTAGCCATCTGGTGGGACTGGAGGGGGAACTGAGAGACACATGTGAAGTTCAAGAGCAGAACGCAGGCTCGCTGAAAGACTGATCTGATTATCAGGCTGTAGAACACTGCCCCGGCCCCCACACCCTACCACCACCTTAGTAAAGGCCCAGCAGTTCCTTTTACCCAGTATATTAAGTCCAGCCATCAAGAAAAAACTGTGAGGATGTATCGGGTTAAATACAGTGTATTATTAAATTTTCTTTAAATTGTTTTTTTTTTCATGCCCTTGACCAGAATCGAACCCGGGACCCCTGAGTCCGCAGGCCGACGCTCCATCCACTGGGCCAAACCGGTTAGGGCATTTTCTTTAAATTGTGAAAAATAAAGAAAAAATTGTAAGACATATTAAAAGGCAAAAAAAACAAAACAAAAAAAAAAACAAAAAACCAACCCACAAAAAAAAAACAAAAAAAAAAACCCAAAACACAGTTTAAAAAGACAGAGCAAGCATCAGAGCTAGGCTTCTTGCAGGGATGTTGAAATTATCAGACCAGGAATTAAAAACAACTCTGATTAATATGCTAAGGCTCTAATTGGCAAAGTAGATGGGCAATGGAACCAGACAGGTGGAAATTCTAGGGAAGAATCTGAGCCTCAGGATATCTCAACACTGAAAAGCAAATAGAAAAAAAAATAAAGTCAAAAAAAGAACAGAAAAGAAACAACTACTGAAAGAGTAACTACTTTTAGTAGAGACGACTGAAAGAGTAACACATGTATAATGGGGATGCCAGAAGGAGAAGAGAGAAAGGAACAGAAACTATACTTGAAGTAATACTGGCTGAGAATTTCCCCAAAATTAATGTCAGACACCAAACCACAGATCCAGGAAGCTCAGAGAAAATCTAGCAGGATAAATGCCAAAAAATATGACACATAGTCATTAAAAAAAAAATTTTAAAGCAAAGACAAAGGGAAGAAACCTGAAAGAAGCCAGGACAGACAGACAGACAGACATACATACATACATACATAAACAAACAATACACCTTACTTATAGAGAAGCAAAGAATTACATCTGACTTCTCAGAAACCATATAAGCAAGAAGAGGGTTGAGTGAAATATTTTCAATGGTGAGAGAGACAAAACACCAACCTAGAGTTCTGTGGTCCATGAAATTATTCAAAAGTGAAGGAGAGCCCTAACTGGTTTGGCTCAGTGGATAGAGCGTCGGCCTGC